ATCATAGCGCTCTGCATCAGCAGTGCTGCGTCTGACTCCCTGCCAGCTCCCAGATCAGCTGCTCTCATTGGTTGATGCGGCGCATCCAGCAGCTAAAGTTACATTTTTCTATTTCCAACAGCTGCTGCTTGTGAAGCGCGTCACGCGCCTCAGATGCTCAGCAGATCATGAGCCACTGCTCCTGCTGCTCAAAACGTGTTGCAGGACTTTTTGACGCACCTTGATGTGCGTCAATCATTGACTTTGCATGCTAACTAGCCGCTTCTGCAGCCTGGAGTCTGAAAGTAGCATTAGATATCACCTCAGACCATTTAGCACCAACAAGTCCCATTAGACCAGGAAAGGAGAAGTACTAATTGGACCCAATGTGGATATTTTCACCCAGTAAGGAAATCATACCAATATTTTTCCGATCTCCTTCTGAGAGACCCTGATGATCCTGATGGAGCTGAAGATGATCTACTGAGGTCGTCCTGCTGAGCACGGCGTGTTTGGACGTCCCACTGCTCCCACCTCAATTCAGGAATATTGAACTTGATGGATTGGCTTAATAATAATAATAATAGTAATCCTACTACTAATAATAATTTAACTTTGCTGATCTCACACTGGAGAATTTTACCTTGGCTGGTCCCCTGAAATTCCTTTTTAAAAATCTAATTTGAGGACATTAAACTCTAATGGGAAGCGTTATCTCCTAGTCAGAGCCTGTAACTCAGTGAAAGGGTGGAGTCAGAGTAAGAATATATGCACGCCCAAGAGGAGGGGGGCTCTCCAGTGGCTGGAAGATGGCCGCCATTAGGCTGCGTTTGACTGGGAGAGGCCATTTTTAAAGGCTGCTACTGCATTAATATACACGTAGATTTACTCTATGGATGTTTTTGCATGTCAACCATCAGGTTATATGTTTGTGTTAACGTGTTCTGAGCTATGTGGTGAATATAATATCACCATGGTAACAACCCCACACGCCTTAATACACAGATTTTAAATATTCTCCAAACAAACTGAGACCTTTTTTCAGATGCATCACTGCAGCATTCTGGATAATTTTCATGTCTTCTGCAGCAATAATCCAGTAAAAAGTCTGAGTTACTGGAGGACGTTTCCTTTAACACCTCCTCCTCTCCTCCCAACTGAAGCTTGGACTGAAGTTGCAGAAGGAGTTTAATGAGGAACATTTGTTTCCTCATAGAGCCTCTAAAATCCATCTGTTTTATAGAGAGGAAAGTCACATAAATTATCATTTTATTCCCCTCTAAAGGCACATAATCAAGGTCTGCAGGAATCAGACAGAGAGGCCTTCGGGGGTGGAGAGCTGAATGGTAAATTACATTTCTGTGTCCCACAGAGTTCACTAATCAGTGGGTGTACTGTGGAGGAACTAGCTGGTCAAACAACATTTTATGCTACAAAGAAAGGAGAATTTTTCCTCAAATGTGGGTCAAGATTAGCAGTGGGAATATATAGAACTATAAAAGGTGACATTTTGAATCTCATATGCATATCTGAGAGCATTTCCTGCACCAAAGCTATCGACCGCTTCCCACAGTTTTCTTTAAATAATAATCAGGATGGAGCAGAAAGCTTTGAGAAGATGCTCAGAGTTGTTTGAAGTTATCAGTAAACTTCTGGACTGAAGCGTCAGCACGGTCATCCTGCCGTCTCTCCCCCTCGTCTGTTTGCTAAACTAATGCATTGCATTGGTCTGCAGTTTTGTGGAGGAGTGGATGCACCGTTGCAGAATTAGCAGAGCTGTGAGTCAGGCTGGCCAGCAGACACAGCGCTGTGAGTCAGCCCAGGTTGGTCTCTACGCTCTGACACATCCTGGCCCCTCAACCTCAAACTAGCTGTGCAGTCAACCTCACAAAAGGGAGACATATTAGCAATGCAAAGAAAGCTTTTCCACACCGCGGCTCCTGCTCTGCCTTCTGTTATTCCGTGCTTTTAAAGCAGCGTAGGTCGTGGCTGCACTCCACATTTTCACTTCCTCTGCACAGCCCCATGGACTCACCAAAACGGCTGCCAATGTCTCCTGTTTTGATTTCTCTGATGACTTAGGATGATGCACAGGACTGTACGTCCATGACATGGCTCCTCCCCCCCCTGATCCTCTCTGAGGGTTCAGAGGAGCGTTATTTTTTAATTTGTAGTGTGAGTTCAGCTTGTTACGATGCAGCCTAACAGGTTCATTCCAGAAGAAACAGAAGAGAACATATTTATCTGATCCTGTAATCAAACTTAGAGCAGTTTATTAATCCCACTGAACAGGAGACAGAAAACAAAACAAAAAATAAACATTTAATAACATAGAAAGAAGATGGTTAAAAAGAAAAATGACCGGGAGCTTTACTGTAGGACCAAAATTAATAATAATTAAAAAAAAGAAAGAAAGATCAGTCATCTTTTTTAATGTCTGATCATGTGATCACTGCTTGCTGTAAAACAGGAAATCTGTCTTCCTCTATAAACAATGGTTCAGTTGAAGTAAATAGAATCGCGCTGCCGCCTGTGCAGAGCTGGGTCAATGCTGGCAGCAGCTATGTTTGCTATGTGAGGGAAACGATTCTGGCCAAATGTTTTTATTTCCATCAATAATGTTGGGCAATAACATATAATATAACTTTGTAATAATATAACAGGATGACGGTTAAATGTCCAAATAGTTTAACACATTTTTTTATTAATGAAATGTTGCGTGTTTCCTTAGAGTGACCTCCTCTCTCCAGGCTGCTCCAGGCTGAATGTTATCTGCAGACTAATAGATGTTAGTCTACAGGTTAGGCTTGACCATATAACATTAATATCAGTTCAATGAAAAGGTCAAAAGTTCACGGTCAGGCTGTCAGACGAGAACCTGATGAAAATACGGAAGCCCTGAAAGGCAAGTGAGAGAAAAACTTAACAGATCATTTAATTGTTTTTGTAATACTTTTTTTCTCCACTAGAGGCAGTAAAGTAAAACCACAGACCTCCTCTGATGTCTTTGTTCTTCAAATGACGGATGAACGTCTGGTTTCCAGGACTGAATAAAAATTAAAAAAATGAGTTATATAAAGTTAAGCAATGAAGGTAGAAACTTTCATTTCTTGGCCATGCTATCAGATTATCAAATCTTATATATATTTCAGGTATATAGAACTAATTGCAGTGGTGAAACTGGATATTTTGATTAAAACATGAACACTGCTCGCTCTAAGGATCGACACTGCACTTCTCAAATAAAACATATAGTGCCCCTAGTGGCCAAACAAAGTATTATTAAAAAAAAGTATTATAAAAACTCTTTTTTTTCCCACTTTCTTTTAAGAGGAGGAAAAAAAACGTAGAACCTTACTTAACTTCTTTTTTTTTTCAGACCTGCCTTTCTGGGCTTCTGTATAACGAAAATCTGATTGCTCTTAAAACCAGCTGAACAGAAAAGTTTGAATCTCCAAAGACGAGGTCAGAAAAAGGCTCTAAATCTAATCACATTTATTTTGGAGTAATTTCTATTAAAACAAATCCTATAAATGAAACACTGTGAAATGGAAATGAAAGTAAATCTGAATCTGTCCCTTTCAAATAACTTTTAAACAGATTGAAAATAAAAATAATGCCTTTATGTCTCAGGAAGTTTGTCTGATGCTCCATTGGTCAGGATGAAGCAATCAGAAAACTAACGACTTTATTTTGTCACCTTACAGAGAGTGATTTTGTAATTGAACAAAGAATTAAAGGTCCAAACATTTTTGCCCTTCTGCCTCCTCAGAGTCCATCCAGTGAGCAGAACCAGGAGGACCCGCTGCTCCTAAACGTTGCAGGTCCTGAAGAAGGAGCTCAGGCTTTCCTGTCTGAGATCAGCGAGGAGGATGTGGAGGTTCTTCATCAGAGAGAGGAGGCTCTGCTTCAGATCGAAGTAAGAGATTCCTACGACACATCTGAAGCTTTCTGTTCATGTCTGCCTCTGCGTGCAATCATTAGCTAAACATGTACATTATTACACTAAGGATAGATAGGTCGGTTCTGGGACTGAGGTTCCTTATTCCTGTTAACTAGATGAGGAGAACTGGAGCAGACCAGAGAGCAGAGGGCAGCTAGTTATCTAAGATCAGGTCAGATGATTATCTTATCTTATATCCAGTTCATTCTTGGATATGAAATAGTGCAGACATTATTGTTAGTTTTATGGCACAGGGGTCAAACATGCCATCCATGTATGGAGGCCACTGGACTTTGTTTCCCAGTTTGAAGACGTGTCTCTTCCATCCAGGAAGATTTTTCAATTCAAAATGTCAGAAATAGCGTTTAGTTCCAGGTTTTATCCAGCAGCCCAACAAAGCCTGGTTTTAGTTTAGAAAACATGCAAATAGAAACGGATGAACGGGTCCCCCCCTTTGGAATGGGGGTCGTTTGGGTTCTTTGTTAGCCTGCAATGCCCCATACCTGTCTATGTCTCTGAAAGGGGGGGTGTTAAAGGGAACGGAACAGAAAGAAAAACCAACCTTAAACAGAGGGGGGGTTATTTCAGATTTCAAAACTCTATGATGCAGCCATACAGTTGATTCCTTCCTGTTATCATCACAACCCCTTTACAGGACAACAATTCCCTTTAGCGACCCCTGGGCCTGCGTCGTGTTGAAAAAATTGGATCTAAGTTGTTCGGACTGTCATGAAAAGATCAGATCCAGGTCGCATTTGGGCAAAAACATCGGATTTTGGTGAATTCAGGCTGCTGTGTGAACGTAGCCTAACTCAGTTCCAGTTTCAAAGAAGTGTTTACTCTGACCATCAGTGGGAACTGGTTCCTATGATGTTGTTTCTGATAACTTAGCTGATTTATATCCTAAAGAAGCCATATTTAAGCCATAGGTCATTGGATTCTCATTGGTTAGTTTTCCATCTTTGGAGGAGAATGAACTCAATCACCCAGCAGGTGTCTCTCAACTCTTGGTAAAACAAATTTTAATAGAAGCAGAAACTGTTTTATGTCTATAGTTGAAATCTTCAGTTATTAAAGTAATGGATAAAATAAAAAAATAAAAACATTTTATTTTTCTTTATTCTTTATTTGCACACCTGGAGGCTAAAAAAGGGAAAGTTAGTCAGTTTAAATTCAGTCAGTCTCGCTCCACTAATGTTAAAAAGCTTAGTCATATTTTGTCCGTCACTCTTCTTCCAAGCTGCTTCTGGACACTGAAAGCTTCCCAATTATCTCAGAGGTTATTCAGGCTTGTTGTGCTTTTACCTGAGAAGCGTGTTTGGAAATCAAATATTTTTCCAATTTAGCTTTGAAAAGAGCACAATCTGTAGAGGAGATATTTCTGCTGACACCCCCCACGGTTGGATCCTTTAACTGACCGGCTGCTGATTTGGAAACAAATCTACATTAAATAATAAACCTCATAGTTTCTTAAATCACCCACTAAGGATCCTAATCACATCTAGCTCCAGTTACGCTTCCCTACCTGCAGAAATGCTCAATATCTCTCTTGACTTCCTGTCTTTTAGGCAGAGAAGTGTTGTGAAATGTGAAGCGCTGAGCGTGTGGCGTGCAGACTGGGACTCAGCGCTGTGGCTGCAGCTGACAACATGCAACCTGTTTGACAAACAATGTGCCATATGGGAGACACACAGAAGGCCTCTGCTGGCGCTGTTGTTCTCACACTGCTGCTACCAAAAACAACAGACGCCAGATCTATCAAATCTAGAGATGTTGACTAATAATAAGGGATTACTATACAGCTGATGGCCCACTGTTAACTGGCTATATTATGTTCCCTCCCAAGGCTTGAAATCAGAGGCGGCAGAACAGACACCATCTTGTCTGAACGGGGGCTTTATCAGATAAACTGGAGCTCCAGGTTTCTGCTTTCTAAATGCTGCAGCCAAACTCCTCTTGTTGGTAACAAATCAAAGGGACTATTTCCTATTTTGCTCTCCTTACAGCAGCCCCTCCCATGCAGACGAATAACCTCCCCACCCCCCATATGAATCCCCTTAATGCCAAAGATAATATAAGTGACTATTGTCATAGACTCAGAACGTAGGACCTAGAATTCAGGCGAGACAAACGGTGATTACTTAAAAGGCGTTTATTGAAACAGACGCAGAGTTGTGCATCTGCAGCAGCTGGGGCTGGGGCAGGGCACCGCCCATCACTGGAAACTCTGGTGGAGAAAAACACAGGTAAGTGACCATGATAACCTAACGGAGGATGATTATCCATGTGAGTCACTTAGCTGGTTTATCAGTTCAGTCCATCTCCATTTAACACGGTCGGATCCATCCGGAAGGATGGCAACTAGATGTGGCAGGCACTGCCAGGAGTGTCCCCAATGCTGCAGTCCCAGAGGGGATGAGACCGAGCCGGGTCAGGGAAACGGATCAGAAAGGAAGGATCAGATGTCCAGGAGTCCGTAGCCCGGTCGGGGATTCTGATCGAAACACAAACAGGTTGGTTCAGGGTTCCAGGATTCAACAGAGATTTCAGGGCGAACGTTCAGATGGGAGGTAACCTCAATGGTTGAGAGGCAGAACAGGGCAGGATATCA